GTGTTTCAGAATGTCTCAGCGTGAGATGACTTACCACTGCTCTCATCTGCTGCCCCATCAAGCTGGGGGATGGACAGACTGGCGAATAGAGTGTTATTCCCACTACACTCCATGTCTTCGTCAGAGGACACCTGCTGCTCATCACTGAAGCCGTCCTCTGCATCCTTCACACCAGGCCTGTACACATAGGAATAACAGCATCACTGAGTAAACAACAACTTTTATCTGATTGCTAATGCTGTGTTTCCACTATCGAAACCAAACAAGCAGTGTACCCCACATTTCCCTTAACCATCACCGAGCATAGCCTCCAGGATTGACACAGACCATCCTGCTTTGTTTTTCAAGTGTATTTTCTCTCTGTTGGTCTGTTTAGATGACGGAGGGGCTGCTCCTCTCTCTCACACACACAATCAGCTGTATTTTACACATGGTAATTAATGCTAATGCTTGATGTGTGAAGGCGCAGACATTTAACCAATCACCGGCGACTGCGCTGCATACACCTCCCCCCTCACATCCCTGGTTCTTGATGCAGTCACACAGCAGTGGAAATAACGCAGAACCTGTAATGAGTGTTACTCGGCACGGCACGTTTCAGTAGGTTCCTATAATGGAAAAATCCCTTAAGTGTCTATTTGTTTGTGCTTAAACAGAAGCACAGAGACAAGTACGGGAATAGTAAAACTTACATACACCAATTTCTTATTTTTCTTTGTATTTGTAAAGCTTGTAACTTAGATTATCCTTTCTCCACCTTTTCAGACACACTACAGGCTAAGTCCAATGTTAAACCCAATTCAATGAATCTACACTATTTACCATAAGAACGGGGCCAAATTCTAGCCAGATTAGCTGTTGTTTACCAATCATATTAAAGAGGGAAAATTGTAACACATCTATACAGAGATGTGGACGACACCACAGTGATAGGTCGCATCACTGGCGGGAACGAAGCAGCCTACAGGAGGGAGGTGGCCAGTCTGGTGTCATGGTGCAAGGACAATAATCTCAGCCTCAACACGGACAAGACGAAGGAGATGATAGTGGACATGGGGAAGGAGAGAAGAACTCATCGGTCACTGTTCATCACTGTGGAGGCTCAAAGGGGTGTAAGATTTGAGTCTTATAGACTCTAGTTACTTTATAAGCTTTAGTTACTTCTCATACCTGTAGTTCCCTTTAGTTACCTTTCATAACCTTATTTTCCTTGTTTATACACATTACTGCTATATTGATGACTGTCCAGAACTATTGAGCTTTGGTTATTCTTAATACATTTATTTTCCTTGCTTATATATCTTACAATTGTATTGATGAGAATCAAGTGATACTGAGGTAGAAACTGTCTGTTTCAACTTCTGTAGAGATGAGATGTCTGCATCTCCTAAATGACCAGACAGCCTATTTACATTTCAACAGAGACAGGGTGGTCTGTTTTGCACTCACACCTAGACCCGCTTGGCGTGTTCCAAGTTTGGCTTTGTCTTGAGATGTCCTGCAGAGGGCAGGTGCTGCAACCTGAGATCACAACTTGGCCAGTTTAGCATACTTATTAGCATCACACACACCGGGGGCCTGAAACTCAGGCCACCCATTGTTCGGGGCCCATTGATCAAGATCAAGCTGCCACCTGAGACACACACACACACACACACACACATACCTAGATTTACCACATTCCAACATAGAAGTGCGGGCTCCGGCTCACACCAAATGGCCAATAGGATCACAAACTATTGAAGGTTGCACCCCTGGTCAGGGCGGAGCAGCCCAGGAAGATAAATGTGTTGTAAAAACTTAATTCAGGATTCAGAACTTGGTTTTCCTGCGGGAGCTCTCTCTCTCTGAATCCAGCGCTGTAAGACTTTCCTGTTGTGATCAGACTTTTAGCAAACTTTCTCTTGATTTTAAACAGTCCTCTCCTGTCTTCACTGCTCGTGCTTCCAACAAAAGAACTGGGTTAATTTCTAACAGGGGAGAGTAGGTGAGCAGCTTCAAATACCTGGGCGTCCACATCAGTGAGGACCTCACTTGGACACATAACACCACACAGCTGGTCAAGAAGGCCCAACGGTGTCTGTACTTCATGAGGATGTTGAGGAGGTTTCGCATATCACGTAGGATTCTTAGCAACTGCTACAGCTGCATCGTCCACAACTGCTGTTCCAACTGGGTCTCCTTTACAGTTTGCCTTGGAGAACTTTATACCGATTTCTTTGTGACAGCTCAAATAATCAGTGCAACAGCAAAAATCCACTCATTGCCCTCTGGATATTGTCCCTGCTAGGATAATGAAGGAGGTCATTGACATTATTGGGCCTTGCCTGGTCACATTTATTAACAGCTACCCCTGGCTGGGTATTGTCCCTACTGCCCTCAAGCATGCTGTAGTCAGACCACTTCTCAAGAAGCCCAACCTCGACCCCACACTCCCTTCTAATTTTTGTCCAATCTCACATTTGTCTTTTTTTTTTTATCCAAGGCTATGGAGAAAATTGTCCTCACACAGTTATAGTCTCATCTTGAACTTTATGCTGTTGTCAATAAATTTCAATCAGGCTTTAGGTCCCGGCACAGCACTGAATCCGCACTATTGAAGGTGCACAATGATATTCTTACAGCCCTTGACACAAAGAGTCCCGTTGTTCTAGTGCTTCGAGATCTCACAGCAGCCTTTGACACCATGGACCATACAGTTCTCATTTCCCACCTTGAACATTGCGTCGGCCTGCGTGGTGCTGTGCTCAAATGGTTTATTTCTTTTCTGACCAATAGGACCTTTTCAGTTGTGATAAATAACTCTACTTCTACAATGGCCCCTCTTTCCTTGGGCAATGCCCAAGGCTCAATCCTGGCACCTATACTTTTTTCACTATATATGCTACTGTTAGGTTCAATTATCTCTGAACATAACATATGCTTTCATTTTTATGCTGATGATGTGCAGATTTACTTACTGTTGATGCAGAGTAATGTCAATGCACTAGCCCCCTTGCACAAGTGTTTGCGTGATATTAAACAGTGGCTCGCACAGAACTTCCTTCATTTGAATGAAGGGAAGACTGAATACACTGCTTTTAGCCCAGACTCTACTCACATCCCTGCGTGGTGCTGTGCTCAAATGGTTTATTTCTTTTCTGACCAATAGGACCTTTTCAGTTGTGATAAATAACTCTACTTCTACAATGGCCCCTCTTTCCTTGGGCAATGCCCAAGGCTCAATCCTGGCACCTATACTTTTTTCACTATATATGCTACTGTTAGGTTCAATTATCTCTGAACATAACATATGCTTTCATTTTTATGCTGATGATGTGCAGATTTACTTACTGTTGATGCAGAGTAATGTCAATGCACTAGCCCCCTTGCACAAGTGTTTGCGTGATATTAAACAGTGGCTCGCACAGAACTTCCTTCATTTGAATGAGAGGAAGACTGAATACATCACTTTTAGCTTGGACTCTACTCACATTGTATCCGGCCTAGGAGATAGAATTGATTTTAAATTTTTACTGTTCATGTTCAAGGCCATTAATGGCCTTGCTCCAGCATATCTGTCTGATCTTTTAACTAGTCATACCCCAGTCAGACCGCTGCGTTCCTCTGATAATCTTATTCTGTTTGTACTGTGACTATATCTAGAGTCGACCTAGAAAAAGCCATTCATGCTTTCATTAGCTCACGACTTGACTACTGCAACACCCTCTAAACTGGAATTAGTCGGTCTCTCCTCCATAGGCTCCAACTAGTACAAAATGTAGCTGCTTGCCTACTGTCAAACTCCCAAGTATGCTCACATCACCCCTGTCTGTCAGTCTCTTCACTGGCTTCTGGTACAGTATAGAATTGATTTTAAATTTTTACTGTTCATGTTTAAGGCCATTAATGGGCTTGCTCCCGGAGAAGATCACCAGGACTCCACTGCCCTCTCTGCAGAGCATTTACCACCATGAAGAATGGGCCTTATTCACCGACATATTGATGTGTTTTCTAATTTTCTTGTTAAGGTTCTAAGAAAAGTCTACGTCTGGTTCATGACTGCATTCTTAAACTGGAGAATTGTTTACACCTGTGTTCTTATATTGATGAATGCCATGTGTTTGTAAGTTGAAAGCTGCCAGTCATTCCTAATTGGCATAGGCTAATGCCCAGCGAACGCCCATAAAAGGGCATGAGACTGCAGGGAATTGAACTGGAAAGATCTCAAATCTGATGCAACAAAACAAACAGAAGAGAGACACTGACCAGTGGAGAAGGACAGGCTTGACCAGAGTTATCTGCGCTGGACCAGCACATCGGGGCCATACACAGCTCTCATGGCACTGAGCGGACCTCCATGAGTGCACCCAGGTCCCTTCATCTGCCCTAAGTCTGATCTCAAATGAAGTGCTGTACAACTAAACACTTAGACAGCCTTAACACTGGCCACAATATCTGAGAGACTTATAGACATTAACAGAAACTAGAGAAATGCATTTCCTGTCAAAAATATGTGTGGACGCTGATACGCTGAAGGTTCACCCTGAAAATTCCTGAAATCAATTGTTGAAACAACTGGAGGTTGAGAAGAAATGGCTGATGTTCTTTGTTGAAATAGTTAAGAAGAAATGGTTGAAATTCTTTGTTGAATAATCTGAAGGATGAGATGCAATAAATATAAGCAGGAATTGTCCTTGAAGAGCTGAACATTTGGATACCTGAATAGCTCTTCTAGCTGAAAGTATGCTGAACTTATAAAGATGTGAAAATTTTCCCACTGGTCCCCACAAAGTAAGTAAAACAAGTAGGGTTTTGTGTGTGTGTGGATGTGTGTGGGTGTATGTGTCAGACTAGTCCTACACACTGAGGACTTCTAGAGTGTGGCTATTGAAATGAAACAAAATGTAAACATCAATTATGCAAAAAATGTAAAAGATATCAAAAAGCTCCACACAAATTCTCATCCAGGTCATAGTAAGCTGGAAAAAAAACTTAGAAAAATCAAAAGGACTAGGTTTTTAGGTCAAAGATGTTTCACCTCTCATCCAAGAAGCTTCATCAGTTCTGACTGACTGGCGTTGAGTCGGAGATATTTATCCCCATCGGTAGTGTTTCAGTCCTTAGAAGGCCAACAATGTCCCCTAACAACTGAGTCGTTATATCCCAGTATCGGTGAGCGTCGTTACCTGTCTTTGAACCCTCACCTGTGGACCGACGCCTATTGTCCTGGTGGGCATGTTTGGGCAGAGATCTCAAAACAGGATTGTAGATGGGTGACAAGATGTGTCTTAGTCCACCACCCCTATTAATTATGGGGTGTTTAATTTGGACAAAAATAGCTTCCTTGAATTCCTCTCTCAAACCAGCAATGTTCTCTGGAGAGGATCTAGACTTCACTGTCCTCAAAAGAATGTCCTTTGTCCTTCAGGTGGAGGTGGACTGCTGACTCTGGTCCACTGGAGTTGGCCCTCCTGTGTTGGGCCATGCATTTGAGCAGCGGCTGCTTAGTTTCACCAATGTACAAGTCGTCACACTCCTGACTACACCTAATTGCATATACCACATCACTCTGTTTATGTCTGAAACCATCACAATCCTTCCAGCAGACAAAGGCAGATGTACAGTAGTCCTAAACTCAGCTGACTATTAGACCAGAGTTTCCGACCTCCTCAGTGACACCACCACCTATGAAGCACTGAAGAGGGACCCCACCAGTGGCTACAAGAAGAAGGTTATAGACTGTTTTCAGAAGCTGGAGAAGGAGGGCGCTATTGACCGGCAACTATACTACAAACTACCCCGGGGGGGCCATCCCTTGCCTTGCCCCCGGGGGGGGCATCCCTTGCCTTGCAGGAATCTTCCTAATCGCGTTTTATAAACAAATGTGTTCTTAAAAACAGTTGGTGAATGTGGCCCATTGTGTATATAACTATTCAATGAAGCAAGTAGATTCTTCACTCAAATACAACTGAAAAAAACTTGCCTGTGTAAGGCTGAGTTCTCGGGAGCCTCACTGTCCCATCGCTGTGACATTAACACACTGAGCTCTGCCTCTTCCTTGTCCAGCTCTGGCCCTGCCTCCTCCTCATCACTGTTGCAGTGGTAGCTCCTTGAACCAGGAATTGACTGGGACTGAGAATTCTGCCTAATGGGGGTCTGACAGAAACCATCATCCTCCAGCCCTGCCAGCAAATCAATGATGGCGTGGTCTTGGCTGCTGTCTGAACACAGAAACAAAGACATTACATCAAGAGCAACAACCAATAACTTTAAGCATGTCCTAAAGAGGTGGCGGGCTAGTGTGGGCTTGCTTATAGCCCCCCTAGCTTAGCCGCCATGTGTTGGAGTTTACCCCGGTGAACGAGAGGGTCGTTTCCCTGCGCCTTCGGGCCGGGGATAGGTCTCTCACTGTCATTTGTGCCTATGGGCCGAACAGCAGTGCAGAGTACCCAGCCTTCTTGGAATCTCTGGGAGAGGTGTTGGAAAGTGCCCCGACTGGGGACTCCATTGTTCTACTGGGGGACTTCAATGCTCACGTGGGCAATGATGGTGATACCTGGAGGGGCGTGACTGGGAGGAACGGCCCCCCCCCCGATCTGAACCCGAGCGGTGTTCTGTTATTGGACTTCTGTGCTAGTTACAGTTTGTCCATAACAAACACCATGTTCAAGCATAAGGTATTTGTTAACTTCATTACCAAGGTTTTCCTACCACATCAACACTTTGGCACAATGAGTGCCTTAAGACAAATGAAGGTAAAAAAAGGTGACATCAGAATGGAAAAAAAAATGGAGGTGGCTTGATCTCAACCAGAAACAAAAGCTGGCAACAGGAATGGCCTGGTAATCCACAATTAGTGTTTAGACAAATGTTTGTGTGATTGATCATCAAGCCAAATTGAACAAGATCATCAGCTCCCACCACCAGCAGAGCTTCGACCAGATCCCGAGGGAGACTGGAGACATTGAGTCCGAATGGACCATGTTCTCCACCTCCATTGCCGATGCAG